AGACTTTGCCTACGATGCCTTGCGGATTTTGAGTGCAGCTGGCATGGAAGAGCAGTACAGGTTTTGGCAGTCTGTGTTTGGGTCGAATCTACATGGCAGGTTATATTACTTTTCTGTACGCGAGACGATAGCACTCCGGAGTCGTCCAGAGATTCCAGTTTCCAACGTTCTGCGCTTGAAGACATTCTTCGTAAATTTAGATGTGGGTGCTCCGGAGCGTCTTGCACCGGAGCTGCACGTGGATGGTGAAGAGCTGCCAGAATGGTTTGATGCAAGCAGCCTACTGTGCTTGAGGGTGCCCAGTGCATTCGCTGATCGTGTCATCAAAGGACAATGGGCTCATATAGCTGTTCCAGATCCTGCCTTGAACAGTTTGTTCCATGCAGAAACACGTCAGAGGTGCAGGGTTTTCGGGTGGTCGCACTGTCCGCCTTGCTTGTCCAGCGGATTTCAGCAGCCTGTTTTCGAGGCAGAGGATTTGGAGGAACCTTTTACAGCAGATTCAGCGCACATGGTTTTGCGGACACTTCAAGACGCAGCGGCGCAGATTGCACAGCTTCAGCCAGGGAATCCACAGCAGGCAGCTGTACTTGAGTCTTGTCAGCGAGCTGCACAGTTGATGCGAGCGCTTCAAGATGAGCTTGATCCTGTAAACTTGCAGCAGGGGATGTTAGAGATTCGTGGTCGAGTCACATCCGGAAAGTTGCCTTACAAGGCTCATTTTCTCATCAAGTGCATGCTCATTAGCTATCACTTGCGAGATGCTTCCGATCTGCGAAAGGTTTTGAAGCATGCCATAGAAGCTGTGATGCCCAAGCGTTTCGCGGAGCCTTTACTTCAACAGTTTTCTGATCCTTCGAAAGTTCGGGTACCCAGTGCTACCAAGCAATCACGAACTCGTTTGTCGATGGATGCAGCTTTTATGTTGCATCGCCGTCAGGTCCACAAGGCTTCAATGGATGATTCTGTCAGGTACATCATGGCAGATTCTTCTGTCCAGGGCCACCATGACTTTGAACTGATACGATGTGTCACGTTGTCTGTGTCCCAAAGTGATGAAATGTTTCGGTGTGCTCAAGAGTTGCATTCTCTGTGGCGGGCTTCCGGTCTTGCAGAGGCCGATGCACTTGAAGCAGACATCCAAGAAGCCGTGGCTAAGGAGCGAGATCTCTTCTCAACTATCTCGAAAGGTTTGCTGACTCACTTGTTTCCAAGCGTTGTCATCGGCAGCGGGCACGCGAGCTTGTACCACAAAACCCATGCATTGGCCCATGCCGTGTGGCTGGAAACGGGAGATTGCCTCTCGATGGAAGCCTTTTTCAAAACAGTGCTGTGTTTCTGCACAGACCAAGGTGTGGAAGCATCCTTCAGCAAGGTGCCTCTGCTGGCTGTGCGCACTTTGTTGCCGTGGGCCCCTTTGCCAAAGAACCGGCAAGATGAACATGACTGGGCGCCCGCCCCAGACTTGGCTGCGTTGCATGCAGCAGCCACGATAGACTTGTCAGGTTCAGTGGGAGTGCCAGGCATGCTACACATCATACACAACTCGACAGTTGATTTTGGACATTCCATGCCGAGATTTTCTGAAGTTGTCAATCAGCTGCAGCACCTGTGCAAGTTTTTGCGGAAGCGGGACACAAAACAACGGCTTCTGGAATCCTGCTTCCAAGACCCTGTGGGACGACATTTGCAAGCGGAGTTGAGAGCGTTTTCTGCGAAGCTGCACACGGGCCGGTGGGGATCTATCGCCGAATGCGTCAGACAAGTTCTGCAGGTTGAAACATCCTTGAGGTATGGCTGGGATCTTGCAAAGTATGGCAATGCGAGGCCACGACTTGCAGGTGAGAGCGAGCACGGAGTCGATCTGACGATTGTTGACAGTGCCATCAACAATTCATTTTTTTGGGGTTACGTGCATATGTTGCAGAGTCTCACACACATGGTCCAGTCTGCTTTGGGTTGGTGTGAATCTTGTGTGTGCCACGGCAGTCTTCCAGTAAACGACCGAACCAAGCAGCTTCAACAGCAGTGGCGCGCATGCCCACTTCGGGCATGCCGTGCTCCGGAGCTAGCGGCTGGAGGGTTCATGCAACTGTTACGGCGTATCTCAAGCACATCTGCTGGACACTTGCTTGCGTCCCTTCCCAGAGACCTAGATCCCCCCGACAGGGCTACCTTGCTGAGCGAATACGAGAGAGGAAGATCCCATTTGCTGTTCGTACTGGGGCTGCGGCTTGATCATTGGCGGCATCCACCTTGGTCCGTGTTCGGGTGTGGGCACATAGATCCTCAGATCAGCAAGGATTTTCTACGGAGGCACCTTGCCATCCAAAGTTCTCATAGCTTGATTCAGGAGCTGCAGGAGCAGCAGTTGGCAGCACAGGCGCAAGCATACATTGATGGTGATGGGCAGGGTGATTCTAGTCTGGCCAGACTTCCCCGGCTCACACGTTTCATGGCCAAGTTGCTGTTCTGCCCCGTCGCAGAACGACTGGTGGAAGGAGACCATGCTCAGGCCACCGTCTGCTGAAGAGTTTGTCATGCCATTTGCCATTCAATGT